TCGCATTCGAAAGGACGGATTGGATCGTAGCTTGCAGCTGCATCGTTTCCTCGTTGACTACGAGAACCTTTGCTCTTGGATTAATGACATGAAAACTGTGATATCCGCTGATGAACTAGCTAAAAACGTTACCGATGCAGAAGCACTTCTGGATAGACTTCGAGAGTACAAGGGAGAGATAGACGCAATGGAAGATAATTTCAAACAGATCGCTTTTTCCGGGCAAACTCTTCTATCTGTGGGTACCCCAAAAAATGATGAGGTGGGATGTTATACAGCGTATAGGGTCCGTTGGCAGCTTCTATTTTAGATTCGTCATAAACTGGAACAACTCGAAAGTGAGAAGGTGGATCTTCTTGCTTTATGGAAAAACCGTCAAATTCTTTACCAACAGTGCTTAGATCTTCAGCTGTTCTATCGTGACGCAGAACAAGCTGAGTTATGGATGAAAAGACAGGTATTTTGAGATAGGCTTTACTCACTGGGATGAAAAATAACTTTACATCGATGCATTCCGCACATGGTGTATCACAAGTTTGCGTCTATCATTCTTCACATAAGGAGGCCGCTTTCTGAATAGCGCAAAATCGCTTCTAAAAACCTCTTAGATACATTTTGAATTGGTTATAGGAGGCGTTCCTTGTTAACGAAGATCTTGGTGATTCTCTTGATGACAACGAATCACTTATCAAAAAGCACGAAAGCTTCGAAAAATCTTTGGCTGCTCAGGAGGGAACAATCAGAGCGCTGGATGATTTTGCAACAAAATTGATCCAGGTAAGCCTGAAGTCTTCTATAATGAGAATTTCTTCTACGTCTCAGCCTCATCTTTTCTAGGAAAGACATTATGCTGCTGATCACGTCTCCAGAAGACGTCACGATCTTCTGAAGAGACGTCGCCAAATATTGGAACGATCAGCTTCGCGTGCTGGTAAACTCCACGAAAATTACAAAAAAATGACATTCAGTCGGTAAGCTCCTTCTTCTGCCGTAAATTCGCAAAGAAGTCTGAAATCGTAGTGATTGCGATGAACTGGAATGCTGGATCAAGGAGAAGCTGCAGACAGCTAAGGACGAATCGTACCTTGATCCAACAAATATTCATGGAAAATTGCAAAGACACAAAAACTTTGAGCGGGATGTCAAGGCAAATCGGGATTGTTTGGATATAATCAACAGCGTCGGGTTTCAAATAATCGAAGATTGTCACCCTGAAGCCGATGACGTACGACGCCGCCTTCGAGATGTAGACGAGCTGTGGAATGAGTTGGTAGATGCCACT